GTGGATCAGTAAAGTAGAGAACAGGGCTGGCTCCAACGTTTTTGCCTCCCCAATGGCGCAAAAAAAAAAAAAAAAAAAAAAGCCGCGATTGGCGGCGGCAATTCAGCAGCAGGTCCTTCGCTCCGAGAGGGAGTGAGGGACCCGCCGCCGAATTGCCGCAGAAGAGCCGGACGTGCCGCCCCTTCCCATTGGCCGCTTGGTTTTGATTTCACCCAAATCAGTAGAGTTCTGACCAGAGTGGAGATGCGAGGTGCCTGGCTGGAATACGGGGGTGAGGAGAAGAAGAGGCAAGAAGTGCAGTTGGGGGGGGGTTGACGGGAATGGGGTGAGGGGCCTGCTGCTAACCCTAACTCTAACCTCACCCACAGCTTAAACCCTAACCCTGAAGTTACAGTTCTCCAGTTTTCACCAACATTAGGAGGGTTCTGCCCATTGATAGCTACAATATGTCCTGAAACGCTGCAATTGATGGGATGTGATTATCAAAAGTTATCCCGTTCCAGAGAGATAGAAACACCATCGAGTTCAGTGAGGGGCCTTAGCCAAACAGGAAAGGAGAGAGCCGTTTACTCAGTGTTTTAACTGCACAAGGCCTTGTGTCCCTAGGATAACGCTAGCTGTGGAAATCGCTAGAGGCAGAGCCCCCCTGTGTGTGTTCTCCTTTCTACCATTAGAAAAATGACTCCCATGAGTTTGCAATACTTTCAGATAAATCTTCTACCTTGTAACCCACCTCTCCTGTTATTCACTTCCAGCGGCACATCGGGCAGAGAAAGGTGAGGTGCCTTTGTTCATTGCAATGGGAGGGAAAGGGGAATCTCAGACTTTACAACAAGTTTCATAGACCCTCTGGGCCGCTCTCAGAGCTCTCACTGTGAACAGAAAGTCAGTCTGGTTCGTGCGGTGCACACAGAAGCTCGTCCCCTCATCCCTCACACTCAGGACACAGAATGAACAGACCCAAACCCCACTCACTGAACTCACAGGGGATTTGTTGCTCCCACGCAGCGGGGGCGGGAGCAGGTTTGGCTCACTCTACGTGTAGCCAGCGCTGTGCCCAGGCTGTGAGCTGGCTGTAGTCGTTAACACCCCCGGTGTGACCTGCCAGGCAGAAGCTGACCAGGGACATGGTGGCTGATGATGTCATCATGCTGCTTGCTACAGTGTCACTCTGTCCATTTGCCCTCCTATGCTATTGGCTGCGGGTTCCACCCCCCTTCCACCCAGTCCCGTCACCCCAATGATAGACTAATCTGCTCCCAGGGAGAGTTCCCTCGAATTCCTCCTGACCCCCATCAGTGTTTGGCTTGTGCCCTGAAGCAGGAAGGGATTTCGCTCCCTTCCAGAATGCTTGTGTTTTTGAAAATTATCACAACTCTGGATATTTACTTTTCTCTATCAGTACCTGGGCCTTTCTGAATCCTTTGTCCATTCGGGGTTTTTCTTTGCTTGTCCATTTTGTTTTAACCCTACTCAGTGTAAAACTGCATGTTCTCATTAGCCATACAAATGTCCTTTTGTTTTATTTCTGTTAAACTCTTGTCCTCAATGCTATCTTGTGGCAAGGAGGTCCACAGGCTAATTATGCATCATGTAAACAATAGTATTTCCTCTTATAGTTTGAAATTTGCTGCCTTAGAATTTAGTTGAGTATCCTCTTGTTCTTGTAGTAGAAGGGAAGGTAGATCTGAGAACCCAATTTCTCTCGCTCTCACTCACTGTTTTCTATTTCTCTGTCATGTCTCTTATCTAAACTAAAAAGTCTCATCTCTCTGTCACTTTTTATATGGCTTTGTCTTTAGGGCTCTAATCATTATTATTGTCCGTCTCTGTAATATCCTTTCTGAGATAGGGCGATCAGTACAGGTGAGGATGTATATAAGTGTGATTTTCTGTCCTGTTCTTTGTGCATCCTGACACTTCATTCTTTAAATACCGCTGCACATTGAGCAGAGCTCTTCACAGAGGTGTCCATAGTGATGCCCAGGTCTTTTTTCTGAGTATTTTAAAGCCAATAACCTGCATGCCTAGGTCTAATTATCCTTCTAATTACCTTACATTGATCAACACTGAATTTCATCAGCCATCATGTTATCCAGCTTGGTCCCTCTGAAATAACTCAGACTTCTTTGGCAACCTCAATAATTGTGTGTTATCTGAAATTTTGCCACTTTAGGGCTTATCCTTTGTTCCAAGTCACTGATAAATAGACCAGGGGTTCTCAAACTTCATTGCACCGCGACCCCCTTCTGACAACAAAAATTACTACATGACCCCAGGAGGGGGGACCAAAGCCTGAGCTTACCTGAGCCCTCCCCCCTGGGTGACGGGCGGGGAAAAAGTTGAATCCCAAGTGCTTCCATCCCAGACAGGGGGCTGTAATCTGAGCCCCAATACCCAGGGCTGAAGCCCTCTGGCTTCAGCTTCAGCCCCGGTTGGTGGGACTCAGGCTTCGGCCCCTGGCCCCAGCAAGTCTAAGCCAGCCCTGGCAACCCCATTAAAACAGGTTGCAACCGACTTGGGGGTCTTAACCCACAGTTTGAGAACCGCTGAAATAGACTAAACACCAGTCCTAATACCTGCCTGTGAGGCACCCCACTGCTAATCTTTTTCCATATGAAAATTGACCATTTATTCCTGCTCTTTGTTTTCTGTCGTTTAGCTGATTACCCCTCACCCCATGATAACTTAGGCTATGTCTGCACTACAGAGCTTATAATGCCACAGCTGTACCGATGCAGCCGGGCCACTGTAAGATCTCTAGTGTAGCCACTCTATGCCAACGGGAGAGAGTTCTCCCATCGGCATAATGAGTCACCTCCTGAGGGCGGTGGTAGCTATATGGGCAGGAGTTTCTCCCACACTAACACTTATGCCAATGTAATTTATGTTGCTCAGGGGGTGGAATATTCACACCTCTAACCCTACCCCCCCTGCCAGAAAGTCACATAGCCGACACATACACGCAGTCC